TGTAAGTTCCATTTTTAAAAAATGTTATAATTCAAAGGAAGAATACTTAGCTGGGAATGGATGAGAAGTAAATAGAAAAATGTTGCATATTTTCTGGAAGGAAAGGGAGACCAAAAATAACTCAGAAAACATTCTAAAAATGCCCTCATGATACATTGAAATTACAATTAATTGTAAAGAGAAAAGCTCAAGAATATTTATACTTCTTGTCTGTCAAGGAAAGCCTTGGAGATTTTCACAGTGAGAACTCTTTTACCCATGCAATTTTTGCTAGTGTTTTCCTTGCTTCAGACTAACCAAAACAGAGGAGCAGCAGGTTCTTTTGCTTCTAATTGGCACCTTGAAAAGAATAACTTAACACAGTCTTGATAAGTCTATATGTGATTAACAACAGCACATCCATTTCCAAATTTATACAGGTATTTTTAATTGTGGGGAGGAAATTCTGAAGTCAGTGCAAAAACAGCTGCAAAGTTAGGGCTTTTCTGTGTTGCTTAAACATTCCCTTTCCATGGCTGTGGCATCTGGGGCAGCTGACCTCTTTTCCACCGTGCTCCCTGTGTGCCCGCCCTGCCCTGTTCTGCTCTGTGGCCCTCATCTCAGGAGAGCTGTGAGGCACACAGCAAGCAGACCACAACAGGTGCTTTTGATTACATGTTGTGAAGTCACTTCCTCCAGTTACTTGAAAAGAAAATAACAAAGTTGGTTTTCAACTAGAATGAGCAATGAGCAGGCAATTGAGTTGTGCAAATTTGCCTCTTAGGAGACTTATTTCAAGGAACGTTGAAAGTTGTAATTTATTTAAACTCTTACTGAACATGAGATCCCAAAGCATATGGATTTTTCCCCAGTTGACCAAGAAACCAGAGAAAAACATGCATTATTCTGAGTGCTTAATCGGAGATATGTTTCCCTCAGTAATCTTTTCTATTGTACCATAAAGAGCCTATTTGCACTCTACCCTATCTATAAAATTCAGAATTTATGGTGGAACTGTTTAGTAAATACTGTCTAAAGACATCTTAAGGTAGAAGTTCGGTGGCTTGAAATAGCCTGAGGTATCTGGGAACCCTTCATTTAAGAGCCAGGCACTTGGCTAGGCACAGCATATATAAATAGAATGAAGGCACATGCTTAAACTAATATTGTATGCATTGAATGTGAGAAGTTGTGTAATGGTGTGCTGGTTAAGAGCATGGACTCTACAAAGGACTGCATGAGTTTGAATCCCAGCTTTGCCACTTTCCAGCCATTGCATAAACTTATACCTCGGTTTTTCCATCTGTAAAGTGCTCATAAGGTTGTATGGATTTCACGTGTTAATGAGTAGTACATGTGGAACCATGCCTCTCATGTAAAAACCACAATATTATTTCTGATTTTTAGAGATAAACCTGTGCATGCTGAAACAGAGTTCCCTTTGTTTGTTTGGCATCTCCTAGATGCAGCATCAGGGGCATATGGCTGTCCTAGTGACGAGGGGCCATTGGGCTGCTCAAAACCACACTGGCACTGGCAGTGGTGTTGGTAAACTGGCTTTTGGCAGTAGGGTGCCCCGATTTATAGTGTTTGCTGATTTTAGTGGTACAGATACCCCCACCACTGCCTATTTTAATTTACCAATGGTTTAATAACCAACTCACAAAATTCCTGCATATTTACCAGCTGGCTGCTGCAGGTGGGCTCAGGCACAATACGTGGGCTGCGCCAGGGTGGGCCACCGAATAGTCACTGTGCCCATTGCCTCATGCCAGCTCTGCAGCGAATGATGAGGGGGAGTTAAAGTGATACACACACTCCCTGCCCTTGAGGACCTACCCACGAATTCTAGAGACAAAGTAGGTGAGTCTGGTCCTCTCAGCTGCCACCCTTCCTGCTGGGCAAGGTCACATCATTACTTCAAGGAAAGCGACCAGAAAAGAAGTGTGGTGTTGCACTGAAAAGTCATGTTTCACACTGGGGAGGATTTGATATAAACAGGACATCTTTTGGGGTAAGCAGTTGGGTCATTGCGGGAAATAAAAAAGGCCCAGGCCTTGGAATGTTGGCCCATGTTAGTAGGCCTGAATCCTGGTGGCTGGCCATCTGCAGAGACGGCAGGCACAAATCTCATACCATCTCTGAGCCTGAAGGTCTAACTGTGTAAGAAGCACAGGCAACTGTCACTAAATTAACTACTAATTTTATGTCCAAGAACAGAGGTTTAATGCTACTTTCCAGTGGCTTCATTTTCTCTTTTTTTTGCCAAAAACGTTCCTGTCTGTCTGTTGGAAGGGCACAGCATGGGATTTTGCCATTCTCGTTGTATTTGCTTAATTATATAGATGTAAAATACATCACATTACATTTTTGTAAAAAAATGTACTATTACACTATATTGTAGATGATATGCTGTGTACTCCTCTCCAGAGAAATGAAACTTGGGTTTATAGGATTTTGTATTTTATGTCTTAAGTTGAGCAAGATGCTATGGTGTAGCTACTTCTTTTTCTTTCCTTAGCATGTGTAAAAATTAAGCCACTTGCACTGATGTGACGGTGCCTCTGGCTCTGAAGCTGCGTGTTTTTCATGGTAGTTCCCCCTCCCTCCCGGCAGTCTCAGCCGCTCGCCGAGTACCCGTATGGTCGGTGTGCGGTGGTCGGAAACGGGGGCATCCTGAATCAGTCTCTCTGCGGAGCCGAAATTGACAAATCTGACTTCGTTTTTAGGTGAGACTTGTCAAATCAGTTTCTTTGAACCCAAAGATCAGTTAGATTTTTTTAAAGGACATTTTGACCCTGTACATTTTGACTTTTGATTTGCATTGCTTAAGTCTACGAGTTATCTAGGTAGGCTTTCTTGAAGCGTTAACTGGACTATGAGTTCCTCAGAATGTTGATACCAGAAGGATAAACATGTGTTATGGTTACTTAATTCTCTGACACTCTGCATGAAACCACGGTAAAAGATGGTCTTCACCGCAGGACTTGTCAGAGCCTTCTGTGCATTAAGGCTGTAAACTGGACTCTAAATAGCAACATTTCCCAGGTTCACCTGACCTTAAAAACTTTTTGTTAATGGCACATTTTAAGAAATTTTTTTCTGAGACAGTACTTGAGACAATGCTGATCTAGGCATGTATAGCAAGGCCAATGTCATTGTTTATTTAGTTTTCTGGCTTGGGAAAAAAAAAGTTGTGCAGCTTCTAAAATCTGGTCTTTTTAAATGTTTATATCTCAATAGCAGCTAGCTTGCAAAAACAGAAACAAAAGCGGTTTCTCTGGGTGCCTGTGTAATAATAAGCCAACCTATGGAGCTTCTCCACTTTAGAATATGATGGAAAAGTGATTCATCCCTGTTAGGACAGATTTCAGTCAAAGTGCATCTTTTTAAAAAGTCAGTCAAAATCTGTTTCTCCTCTTTCTGGAGCACTGATTTCATACATCAGAGGCCATCCTTTGATCCTTATCGATTTAATGCTACCCTTTTTAGCAAATGAAAAAGAAATAAGATTTTGAGTCAGCAGCTCCCCACCACTTTCACTTTAATCTCACTTAAAATTTTTATGCTGAAGGTAGTGATAAAACAACAGACCTGACAGTCCAGTGATTATTGAATGCATTCCTTGTGATTAATGTTAAGATGGCCAATAACTGAATGATTTAGCCACTTAATAAGGTGCTTCAGTGCAAAAAAACCATGACAAAGATAAATAATACTTCTTGTGATAGACTTTTTATAGACTTAAAATTCCCAAAATATCTGTAGTATTATGTCTAAACATCCATTTTACTTCACAGCAAATATAGGAAATACAAGTTTAGGTTTAAAATTATTTTTTAAATTTCAAGTTAACTTTATTTATAGCTCTAAGGTAAATGCATATATTTCTAGATTCTGCATTTGCTGATACCAGATGTTTTTCTCAATAGAGAGCTCTCTTTGAAGTTAGCTTTTCCAACTGAAAGGCAAAATGAGGGCTAGATGTGGTTGGTGTCATTAAAATCTATTTAATTTTTAAGCCTGTACTTATTTTGGCTATACACATTCAAAGTTTATAAAAACAATCTGGAAACTGCTTTTTTTGTCAGTCGAATGTGTAAGGAACAGAATAGGCAATGAGTGGCTTCTCATATTATATTCAATAATACCCATCATTTCCCTCAAGAGTCTCTATGATATTATACTGAAAAATACCTTTGATTCTTCAAAATGATATGAGACTGCTCTAGAAAGTAGGCTTGTTACAGAAAACCCACTAATGAGAGCATTTCAGTGGCCTGTCATCTATGTTGAATATTTATTTTTCCCAAGGTGCTATATTTAATTATTTTCCAATACATCTTTTTTTATCAATGAAAGAAGTACATGTTTCATTTGATTGTATGTTTCATAGAGTGTGGAACAGAATATTTCAACCTCAGTCATATTGCAGAACACATCAACTTTAAATAGCCTTCCTTGGGAAGTTCTCAGGAGATGTTCCCTTTGTATGTAGAACTTTAAAATAATGGTTCACTTGAAATTCAGTAAACTATATTTAGGGAGTCATAAGCAACTTTCCCTTTATTGTGACAGGAATATAATTACTCAAAATTACAGTTCTTAATTTGTTTCTCAACTTAAAAACAAATTAGCACTCAGAAGAGGATGAGAACATCAACACAAAAACATCATTATAAGAACATTAGGGTTTTATTTATTAATAGTATAAATTGATGGAGAAACTGTCCATGTGGGAATCAGGAAATTTCTTTTTTTTAATGTAGTTTTTCCTTCTATAACCTTAGTCACAGTGCCTCAATTTCTTAAAATGTGTAAATGGGGGACCATACCACTGTGAGAACATAATCAATATAAATAATAATTGCAATAAAAAGATTGTGAACTCTTCAAAAGCTAGGCAAGGTGTAATGTCATTTCTAGTTGTATTACTTATAAAGGTCTTAATATTGAAAGCATTTATCAAATTTGTATATAATTCATTGTTGACATGCCAAGCAAGAGTTCAGTACTTAGTTTTAAGTGGAAATCCAATAAATTCTGAGGATCTCTTAACAGCAATGATTTTCTCTAGTAAAATGACAGTAATCATGTATATGTGTTGTATACACACTTTTTTCTTATAAGTTGTATTTTGAAAATAGTTTCCCTTCCAAATTTCAGGTGTAACCTCCCCCCAACCACTGGAAATGTTAGTAAAGATGTTGGCAGGAAAACCAATATTGTGACTGTAAATCCCAGTATCATAAAACTGAAGTAAGTGACATAACTGTTCAAGAACATTTTTACATTGTTTAACATGTTTCTTAATCTGAGCACTAATCTTATTACTGAGACTGTCTTGCAATACAGCTGGGATGGCTTTTGGGGAAAATTCATAAGAATACATTTGTAATATTTGATATTTTATGAAGGTTGTGGCTCGTAAGAACTATGACCAGTTGTACTTCTCCTGTTATAAGCTGAATGCTGCTAGTCAAATGAAAACTTATTTGTCTCTTTGTCTTTTTCAACTGTAGTCAAATTACTTTCTCATTTTTCTTTCAGAATTTTATCACTACTCTTTTATCTTGGAAGTAGTTTCTTGATTAAACTTAGTCTATTTAGAAACTTTGCAGAATAAGCCTTAAGAGAACCTGGCAAATTCAGGTTTTCTCTTTGGATAGTTTACTACAAAAAAATAATTCCCATATTTCATTTTCCACACTGTAACTACTGTAAAATGTTGGCTGGTTAACAAAAATCCCATACATAGTTTTACTCAATTGTTTTCATTAAAAGTTACTAATAATTCTTATTAATAGAATACACCTCTCAAATAATTTCAGTATTTCAAGAGAATATAAAATATTACCTTTCTCCCAAAGTGTGTTTTCTAAATACAAATGATTGTGCATACAAGTATATTTAAGGTATTATTAAATAAAATAATACTAAGGAATTATTTAAAGAAAAAATATTGAGCTATCACAATACATGGGGGAAATTGTTAAATGTATGTGTATTTGTATTTTTGAAGTTTTCTACAAGAAGCTTTAATAATGCATACAAAAGACACACAAATCACAAGTGTACAGCTCAACAAATTTTTAAATGTGTATTAAATATATATTTAAGAAGGTATATTTCTTATATCTTCTAGACATAAGAAAATATAGATACTTTCAATGTGTAGATATTTATTCATTATAAATTTGGAAGTTGTTTCAGCATCAGAAAGCAACCATAGAAAAAACTACCAAGTTGGAGGACAAAATAATATAAGAAATGTGTGTCCGCTATGGGTATAGCCCAGTAAAAAAGCAGAAATGAAAGCCCAGGAGTACCAAGAAAGAGAGAAGAAGGCCTAGGCCTTGATATTTTACATGATGCTTGTAGAGTTTTCTTTGAGTCCCCCAGTTTTTCTGTTTTGCATATAGTGTTATATAAATGGTTCAGATTTTTGGCCAGTGGTAAATTCAGCCTCATATTACCAAAGCTGCTACTTTGATTTTTACTGTTACTATTATTATTTAAAATTTGGCAGATATGGGAATTTAAAAGAAAAGAAAGCAGTATTTCTGGAGGACATTGCAACCTATGGAGACGCATTTCTTCTTCTGCCGGCATTTTCCTTCAGAGCCAACACTGGTTCCTCTTTTAAAGTGTATGATGTGCTGAAGCAATCTAAAGCAAGACAGAAGGTTATATTTTTCCATCCTAAGTACCTGAAAAATCTTGACCTTTTCTGGAGAACTAAAGGTGTGACAGAGTATCGCCTGTCCTCCGGCTTGATGATCACAAGTGTGGCAGTTGAACTGTGTGAAAATGTGAAGCTGTATGGATTTTGGCCCTTCTCTAAAACTGTAGAAAACACACCTGTCAGCCATCACTACTATGACAACAATTTACCTAAGCGTGGCTTCCATGAGATGCCCAAAGAATATAGCCAAATTCTCCAACTTCACGTGAAAGGAATCCTCAAATTACAGTTCAGCAAATGTGAAATAGCGTAAGCAAAGTGTCTTGAAGTGGGAATGTTTTTAATATAGTGCAGCTGGTGAGTAACAATGTTTCTGGACCCTGAAAGAGGTGGTTGTAGAGGACTATAGGAAGAGCCCCCAAACATGGTCTGATCAGAGCTCCCAACTGCGCTTGCAACCTCAGCAACTCGCACATTTGTTCTGGTCTTCAGTCCTGCTCCCTGTCAAATGAAGACTATGGTATCTAACTCATATTAAGAAAATGTGAAAACTCTTGGCAGAGTACAGGTAGAGTCTCAGTGAATATTTCCTTGTTGGTATTTATGACAGTCAAATCCAGCCCTCAGCAGATGGATAATGAAAGGCAGGCCATCTGAAAGACCCTTTCACCAGAGAACAGACAAATTGCCAGTATTCCCAGGGGTTCTTTCTCTGGCAGGCCTATTATCAATAATGTCCATCTCATCTTTCTTCCTGTCTTAAAGTGTGTGTAGAAGAAAATTATGTATTTAAGAAACCATTGATATTCAGGAATTAAATCCTTCTCTTTGTATGGTAATATGCCTGCTGCTAATTACCTTCACTTAGGTCTTAGCTGAGATGATGCATTGGTTGGATTTTGGCCAGTTCTTTCCCTCCTTTATCTACACCTTTGAGTCACTCTTTATAATTCATATTAACTTCCTGCCTTGCTGTTAAATCTTTTCCTCTTCCACTGACAGAATCTCCTTCAAGGACATGAGTATGTACCACACCTGGGTTTTCTTACTTCTTGTCTCTGGGGTCACATGTTCATTTTTTTCTTTTTTGAGTTAGTGAACAGCTACTTCATGCCAGACCCTGTAACAGCCTCCGTGGGGGATATAAAGGTGACTCGGGCCTGCAGGAGGAGACAGATGTGCACATCATCAACAATGCTACAAGGTGGTAAATATTATTACAGAAGTTGTGAAGAGTACTATGAGGAACAGAGGCAGGAATAGTTAATCGATTTCAGTGGACTCTATTTCAGAGAAGAGGTGATTTCTGAATTGAACCTAGGAAATAGGTAAGGTTTTACCACATGAAGATTAAGGAGAGAATAGGGGAAAAAGCTGTCCCCACCTTTCTCATGCATCAAAATGAGGATACCTGAAGTAAAATCATGGTCTTTACCTCAAAAACTGCCACTCAAGGGTAGGATATATCATACATGTGGTGGCTTGGGCCCACATCTGTGAAATGGGAATAGATTGACTTGCTTGGTCTCACAGGAAAGCTGTAAGGATTAAAGCACACCAAACTTAATTCTCATAAAGAAAGGTATATGTTTACCTGAGAAATAAGACTAATAATTTAAACAAAAATATAAAATAAGGTTTAAGTATATGACTATTACCATTTTCTCACCACTCCCTTACATTATAATAAAACCTGTTAATATAGCTCATCCCTGTGTACTGAATAATTTATTTGACTTCAATAAGTAATTGTGTGCATACTTTCCTGCTCATCTTAATATCATTGAAAGAAGAGCAGAACAAGAAGTAGAGCAGACTGGGCAGCATCCTGAATTACAAATATAAATCTGAATTCTTACCTTAGCCAGATTACTGTTCTACTAAATGTTCACTTCTCAGAGCACTCTGCTCTAAATTGTGCGTTTTGATAAAGTACATCTTTAATTTGGTTGTAGTTGACATTTGTGATGCAATCTTAGTTCACATTTTCATTTGTTCTTTCATAGCAAATGAAACCTATTAGCTCCATAAATTGATTAAAAGTTCATATATAAGTACTGTCCAAAAGAAACATGCTTTTAGTTACATTAAGTGTAATTCATTTATTTTTTGTGTTGATGAATAAGTGGATACTTCTTACTATTTCTAATGGATTTAATTAGTTCTTAAAAATCATCTAGCAATACTGGTAATGTCTTTTATGTCACTAGCAATGAATTATGAAAAATAGATCAGAATACTAATATTTTATAATTAGTAAAATGTTTCACTCACAGTGTTTCCTGAGTAGAAAACTTAAAGTTTTCTTTTTTGATGACACTGGAAACATGTGATTGATGAGTAAAAGTAATAGAATATACTGAATAAATCATTAAATATACAATGTGGAGATTGTTAAGTTATTTTAATAAAAATTACACGACTAGGACATTTAGCGCTTACTTAGGTTTTCTTGCATAGCTTTCTATTTTAACTTGAGAAATTTTCTCTAGAATATCAAAACAGAATCTTCAATGTCACTTATACAAATTTCAGAAATATTCAAAATGGTATAGGAGCAGTGCCCTAGTGACACCCACGATCTTGTAAAGGTTCAGTAGGAAAAATTTAAGTTTTGGAGAAAATTGTAGACCTTTCTAGATGAACACAGCTACGGTTGGTTTTTTGTCCAACATTTTTATCACCATGTTGGAATTTTACAACAGTCCCAGCAAGCTACATGATAACCAAAAGTCTTTGGTCCAAAAAAAAAGTGTACATTCTTTGTATCTCTTTCCCAAGTTGGTCTGTAGCTGTGTAAAATCATGACAGCTTGCAGTTGTCTGCCATCACCTGAAGCTCCCCTTTCCTGTCTGTGGTGCAGTCAGGGATTTTGTGGGGAAATAAAGGGAGTGAGATCCTCATTCGCATCATCATATTTCCTCCTTGGCAGTGGATTACCTTCCACATGTTCCATTTAATGTGCCAATAATGTCCTTTTGTTTAGAAACAGAATTTTAAATTTTTTTCTAAAATCTAATACAAGATAAATTTTGATAATGTAGCATGTCAGCTTTGTGAATTGCAAATCATAAGTCACAGTTCTTTTTGTTCCATAATGGTGAATTATTACAAGTTTTTCATGAAGACCAAAACAAAATGAAAAGCTATGAATTCCATCTTGTAGATTTATAAATGAACCACCAACAAGTCTGACTGTGACACACTCAGGAAATCTTTGGGTGTTATAAGCATTACTTAAATGTTGTTAGATGAATTGGATTTGATCTTTGCTATTAAAGTTCAGGTTATCCATAGATGTTGAAAATAAGATGGAATATTGCTGCTAGGCAGTACTAAACTCTAGTTAAGATTCCAGTTCATACTACCACATGCCACCAGTTTCTAGGGAGATTATTGGATTACATGATTCTTTTTTCCAATTATTATCCAGCATTACTCAGCAATATCACCAATTAACAAGATTCTAAAATAATTTCCATCCAAACCCAAGGAGAAGGCAAAAATACTCATTTAAGCATATAGTCCATAGTGCTGTATGGTCCCTGGAAAGGACTCCATGAATAATTGCATAGATATAAGTATTACTCAATATAATAGTTCTTGAAGTCTCTGGTGTTTTTTTCCTCCTAACAAAAGGCGAAGGCAAATAGATCATGACTTGTGCAAAAGAAGAGTTCCCTCTACATGTAAATTCCAACTTAGGAAATATGTGGGCTCTCAGCCAGGTCATCAGCCAAGCACATCTTTTTTTTTTTTTAGGACTTTCTTTCTATAGAATACTGAAGTAAGCCATAAATCAGACCTGTTTTGAGCTAGATTTTTCCTTACTTAACAAATTTTGTCAAATACTGTATCATGTCAAGTACCCTAAATCATTCCATGAATTTCAGGAAGCTTTGGAGAAATTGAAAACTTTTGTAGATAAAAGGTCTGTTTACATCCTAATTAGCTACTTCTGAAGTATAGTTATAATGCAATGTACAAAATAGTTATAACACTCAAACCATTTTATTTATGTAACATTGAGACATTGGGTATAGTCAGAGTAGGGTGAGAGCCTCTGGAAAAAGCAACACAGGATATTTACAGTCAGAGAGCAATGTAACTACATGCAAGGATACCCCCTACCAAAACTGTGTTAAACTTTAAGTTCTGAGTCATTCTTCAGTGAGATCAGTTAATATTCCCCAGATAAAGAAGATCCACTTTAGCATGCTAAAAGGCCCAGGCCTGTATGCCGTTTTTCCTCCTGACCTGATGAGGTGTTTTGCAATCTAGGCAATTAATAGTGGCAAGCAAGCCCAGCCATAAACAACATAGTAAAAGAAGGGAAGGATTCTACCTTAAAGATAGGATTGCATTTTAATACCCAGGAAGTTAAGAAGTAAGATTCTTAACTTACTCTTTAGCATACAGACAATATCTCAGCCCACCTTGGGGGCTGGGCAGGCAGTGTTTGATATGCTCCCAGACCAAGATGTGCCAGTATCTCCAGAAGAAATCAGAGCAGTAAGTTCCTTGTGTTAATTCTAACTATTCAAGGACCACTTAACAAATCCACACCCCTAAGCCTTTTATATATTCCTAAAAATCCTCAATTGCCTATAAAGCCCCTAGACAACTCACAACTACAGGCTTTCTTGTCCTCTCCTGGCATGAGCCAGGGGCTCTGTCCTTTCACTTTATTTCTAAATAAAAGCCTCTTCCTGGCTCTCCTACCTGAGTGTTTGCTAAGTTCATTCTTCAATTCCGCAAACAAGAACCCCGGCATCAAATGACATGGAAACTGATGATTATGCTACTAAACACTGAAGCAATTGCAGGAATTCACATGAAATATCTAAAGCACTTGACCTAAAAAGACTATTTCTTTTCTTATTCTTAAAAAAAAAAATCCATTTGGAGCCACTGGGTGAGTTTGAGGTTTCCAATTTGCTTGTGGCTGCAGAAGGCTGACTGCATAGTAAGCAGTTATCATTATCCCCTGAAAATGGGTGAGCAGAAATATTTCTCTTGCTGTCTTATCTGGGCCATCACTCTTGCATGAGTATTCTACTTTATATCAAAAAATGTGAGTGATATATGATAAAGATGCATTGGTTACATGAGAGAAAATACATTATTTTCAATATTTTTTCTGTCCCTCTTCCTCCCTCATTTTCAGGAGCTACAGTTACACATATATTAAACCACTTGAATTTATTTTGCAACTCACTGATTCTCTATTTTTTTTTCTTTTTTCTTTTGTCTTTCATTTTGGATAGCATCTATTCCCATATTATCCATGTTATTAATATTTTCTTTTGCAGTGTCTAATCTGGTGTTAATCCCATCTGGTATGTTTTTCATTTCAAACATTGTAAAAGTTTGATTTCTGTGTTTTTATATATCCCACATCTATATTTAATATGGTCATTCCTCTCTGTTCTTGAACATGTAGTATATGATTATAACCCTCTCAATGTCCTTTTCTGTTAATTATATCTTCTGTGTAATTCCTGGATCTGTTTCTACAGATAGAATTTTCTCCTCAATATGATTTGTATTTTCCTGCTTTTCTGAATGTCTGGTAATTTTTTATTGAATGCTAGATGTTGTTAATTTTACTTTGGTGAGTGTTGAGTGTTTTGGTATTCCTATAAATATCTCAAGATTTGTTCTGGGAAGTGATTAAGTTGCCTGTCAGCAAATTGTTCCTTTTAGAGACTTACTTTAGTTTTTGTTAACTGGAACCAGAACAGCACTGATCTAGGGGTGAGTTTTTTCTCACATCAAGGCAATGTCATTATGAGTTCCCTACTGAATGCCCCATGAATTACAAGATTTTCCCGTCTTTGTGTTTGGGAACATGAATTATTCCTGCCCCCTCAGGTTTCTTCTCCTTTTTGGTGTTTCTTTGCCCAGAGTCATGTAGTTCCCTTGTTCACATGTGCTGGTCAGCACTCAGATGGCACTAGAGGAGGGCCCTCTGCAGAGATTTCTCTCTGTGAGGCCCACGTGGTTTCTGCCTTGGCATCCCCAGACGCCTCGATCTGTCACCTGTACTTGCAGAGA